ACTAACATTTGTGTATACACACAAAAGGTTTGCCTTTCATGACTTCCTACTGGAACCTACTTTGAATGTCTCTTAGAGTAAAGAGGCACTGTTTTGGGAATCTCCATTTTAATGACTATATTTTCCACTATATTTATACTTTGAATAAGTCTAACTGAAAAGTTGATTATGTGAAAAAGTCTTACAAAGATATAAAATTTGCACCACCATTTAGTTATGGTTTCTAAATCAATTGCTTTTACTGAAGAGAGTAAAAATTATCAGACAGTTGATGTAGCTTGGGAATATACTGCATTTATACTATACAAGGTGAATTTAAAATCTCACAACATGTTTTCTTGGTTATGTGAAAAAACTTAAAGAGCAATAAATTCCATCATATTCTTATTTTAGGATCTGATAGTAAGAAGGTGACAGGATTTTGGAAATGTTAATGCAAAGCAAACAAGACAAGATAAGGTGTAATTCTCCTGTGATCAGCACAGTACTTAAATGTGGTATTGGACCAGCATACGGAAGTTCCAAAATACAGAAGAAGCAACTTTTGTTTCCTCCATCTCAGTCAGTGGCCTGCATCCCTATCCTCACCACAGGCACAAAGGTTGTTCCAAGATGGCTGCCACGGTCACAAAGGATGATAAATGACTCTACCCGGCTATGGTATTTAAAGTTGTTCTTTAGCCTTTGCAATAGAATTTGGATTGTGCCAGCCATCTTATATTAGTCAGCCCAGGGGATTTTTAATGTTATTTTGAGCCAGATCTATTTTTGTTTAATTCTATGGGAACCACACATAGTTTGCAAAATTGCCAGAACTTTATTTTCCAATGAGTATTACTCAATTCTAAATAAGTACATTCCGCATTTTTATGCTGGTGGACATAGTAAGGGTAAGTTCAGTAAGGAATATCATTTAAAATTATGTAGTGTGGGCTTTTTCTTTCTTTTTATTTTTTATTTTTAAAATAAGTCTAGCATTCTGCGGATTGAAAGTGAGTTAGAGCGTTGCTTATTGTTTTTCAAAATGACACATTTTAAACAAAAACATTTTGAAAAAGTCACTAAGAAGTGATTCGTTACAAGTGTGGCTTGTGTGCCGACTTATGCCACAGTTTTGAATTGTATAATGCTCAGTGTGTTTATTCTTGCATAGAAGTAACTATATTCACTTGGTATAGGATATTATATTAATTGTAATCATTAGAAAGCTAGAATTACTTATTATTTCATTTAACAGAAAAAAGGAAACATTTTTTACCTAACTTTTAAAGTATGATATATGTGGAATTCTTGAGCTTATTCTCAGATGTGACAAGACATCTTGTTCTACCGTGCTGGGTGTCATAAGACGGATAGGAAGACAATTTCTCTTTGACCTAAGACAAGCAGATTATTTTCACCCGTAACAAAACTCCATTCCCAGAACTGGAAAAAAATAAAGCAGCAATCTCATTATAACAGAACACCTTCAAGTGTGTCAGGCCTTGAGAGATTCATATATGTTGAACTCTACTGAATGGAAACAGAAGCTTTGAGCAAAATAATATAAGTAAAATCTATAGAAAATGATGAATCCTGCACTAAAGCTTAAAAACCCCAACAAACAAAATTACAAAGCTTTACAAAGACTATTTTCAGAACACAGAGGTGAAAATGTTAGAGATTTTTAGTAAATGTCATTTGTTCTCCTGTGGAAAAGAAAAGAAAGCAGTTTTTTTTTGTTGTTGTTTTGGTGGTTGGATTTTGATCATAGAAGTAGAGACCATGAAAGACTGTATGACTTCTACTACTCGTGAAAGTAATTATTTGCCCAAATGTCTAAGCCATAAAATAAAATTTCATGTTTTATCTTGCCTTTCCCAGACAGAGATTTTCTTTTAAAAATTTTTAGGGCTGGATGTGTAGCTCCAAAACAGTTTTTTTTAATATAGAAAAAAATGATAAAGGGTAAAATTTAAATGGCTTGTAATCCCATTGACTAGATAACCCTGGTGACATTTTTAAAATTTCAGAGTAATACAACCACATGTTGGACTGGGGATTTAGCTCAGCGGCAAAGCGCCTGCCTGGCAAGTGCAAGGTCGTGAGTTTGGTTCCCGGTACCGGAGAAAAACAAAAACAAACAAACAAACAAAAAAATACAACCACATGTCCTAAAAGTTAAAATAATACTGAGAGATGTAAATGAAAAATGGATGTATTCTTTTTATCTCCTTGTCTCTCCCTAAAAACCAGTCTGTGTCCCCAAAGGAGAAATTGTTAAATATTTTTTGCCTACCCTTCCATAAATGTACCCACATATTTATTTGTTATATGTATATTTCTGTGGATGTATTTATGTATATAATTAAGATGTTATTCTATTATGTCCTGGTATGTTATTCTATTATGTCCTGATTTCACAAAGGTATATTATTCCATTGTGTCCTGATTTTTCATTTAATAATGTATGTGTAGATATTTTCTTTTTTATATTTGTAGATATTTTCATATCAGCATATGCAAAGTTACCACATCTTTATAGACAATTTTTATAGCTCATTATTTTAACAGGTATAAAATATTTCATTATATATTGTACTATAAATATATAATCAATCGTCTATCAATTGATATTTAAGTTGTTTTACTCTTTTAATAATCTGTGAAGACAGCATTTGAATAGTTATGAAAAAGCCTACATTTTAAATTTTGATAGGATTGTCTATAATTTATTAAATCTGTTTTCTTTCCCACCAAAAATATTGGAGATTTACTATCTCTCTGGGAAAGGTATACTTAAAGTTTAAATTTCTTACTCAAGAGAAATACAGTTTAAAGTATTATACCTTTAAGCTTTTGTAAAATGACAAAAAAATCAGAGTGTATTTTCTTTTGAAGAATATGTTGTCTTAGCTCATAATATGTAGATCCATGAAGGAAAAATAAAATATTCTGATATAGGTAAGACTGGATTAGCAAAGGTGGTTAATACTAGAGTCAAACTTCCAGGAAACTTCTTAAAGAATAAATTAAACTGATTACTCTCATGTTTAAAAAATAACATGCAGCTTTGAGAAAAGGGTTTTTCAACATAAAAAGAATTCTGGGGATTGGTGGTACAACAACATGAATGTACAGAAGTTTACTGAATTGTACTCTTAAGACTGGGCTGGGATACAGCTCAGCACTTAGTTATGGGGCTTTGGGTTCAACCCTTAGTACTGAAAAAACAAAAACAAAAACAAAACCCTAAAAAGTTAAAAAAAAGTTAACTTCATGCTTATTTTACTACAATTAGAAAAAAGATAATGCACACAAGTTATAATCTAAAAAGACAGCTATTTAAATATGAATTCAAGAATGTGAGGGAAGAACCTCACCAGGAACTCAGTTAATGTCATTACATACACAATCAGCTATGGCTCAGAATGCAAAGATTGCTAGCAATCGACTTAAATTTAAGGCAAAATGACTAATGTCAGCAACACTCTCCCCATTCTGCTATGGGACAGCCGTCTGTATCTAACAGCTACCTGGACACCCCTCCCACACCTGGCTGTGAAAGTAACTGTTCTCTGGGGCAAGCAATACTCAGTTGTCTCTATAGATAAGCTTGCAGTCATAGCCTCTGATCCCAAGTTGCCTGGCATGCAGATGACAAAGCTGAAGCCCGCAGAGAGGACCAAGATGCTCAGGTCACTCTCCTACACACACCACTCTTTCAAAGCACTGTATAATTACTTTTTTTGTTGTCCCTCACAGCCCCCAGCAGCACTGGAAAGAAAAGGAGAGCTCAGTCTCCAGGACCCAGGACTCAGGACCCAGGACCAATGGTTCACAGTGAATCTGAGGTGTGAGTCCTAACACCAGGATGGACAAATCACTGTTATAAAAACAAGATACTTGTATCTTAGGTGATTCACCATGAATGCTAGGAAATTAACTCATTGAAGTATTTCACAACATTCCTCCACTCTTCCAGGGAAGTCAGACAGGTGCTTGTGGGTACATCTTAGCAAAGAGTAGAGCTTCTCACAGCTGCTCAGTACAATCATTGGGAGAGCTTTTAAAAATCTGATGCCCTGGATCACCCCGGACCAGTGGGTCAGACTCTCTGAGGTTGCTCTGCAGGTGATTCTGACAAGCAGCTAAGGCTGAAAGTCCCTGGCTGAAAGGCTGTCAACTTCAGTTCCTGGGGGGCTTGCCTCCCCATCTCCTAAAAATATTGCCTTAGTAGGCCTAGGATTTTGCCAGATATCTACATTTCACCCCAACCCTGTGCTTCTTCTATGCGGCTCAGGTGCTGCTGATGAAAATGGTCTCCGGTCCATGCGTGATTACTACACAGTGACTGAGATTCTCGATGTTCATCCTTATCGCTTACCTCATCCGCTTCTCCCTGAACCCGGTCCCCTGGGCCTTGTACCGAAGGCGCTTCACCCCAAACTGATAATTTTTATTGCCTTGCCCCAGCACATGCCCAACAGCTTCACCCATCACAATGAGTCACTCCAAAATAGCCGCATAATGCATTGAAATCCTGAGCAAGGCTGAACAAGAATGGAAAGATTACGTCATGGTTTCTCCCTGTCGTGCTTCTGCTAACAACTCCTGGAGTTAGACTTGAAAAAACAACAAAGCCCTCCACACTCACCAAAATCAAAACGTATCGTTTGCATTGTTCAGCTGAGTCACAATGAGCTCCTTGTCTGCGATGAACCTGAGAGTATTTTTAGGTAAGTTTACAGGGAATTAGTTCTCTAAAGTTCGCATGTGTGCTTTTCCTTTTGAAGTTTTGTCCTCATTACATTTTACTGTTATTTTTTGACCATTGCTCTTGTGAATGTCACTGGAAATGCCGAACACGTGTGTTCTATGATTCAAGCTGCCAAGAGAAATTTTAAGGATATCGATGCCCAGAACGGAACCCTTACATACACACTTTATGATCTCCCCAGGCTCGCCTATAACTCTAACCACCCCTTTGAATAATCACAGCCCAATTTGAGGTGGTCAGAGTCAGCATTTTGTAGGGGAAGGAAAATAGGTTTGGGGTGAGGTAAACCTGCTTCAGACCCTCAGCCTTCCTTCTTCCTAGGCATGGGAGCCTTAGGCAGAAACTTAATCCTAGAGTCTCAGTTCTTTTCCTTTGGGAATGTGGGGCCACATTCCTGCCTAAGAGAGCTACTGTGGCAATGGTTAGATACAGCAGCGTTGAATGTGCAGGCTCCCTAAATATTAAGTTTTTTTTCTTTTCATATAATATAACATGAAAAGATGAGTATATGTATTTTTGTAACTCATCCTGCTCCAAGTAATTATGGGGAAGGAAAGATAATTCAAGTGAGTGTTCTAGGAGCCTCAGAGTGACCTCGGAAGGTCAGTCAACCAAGGGTGACTGGGTTGTATGCCACCATCAGGCAATGCTGGGCAGGGGGCACCTTGGGTGCTGAGTGGGAGCCAGGTCAGGAGAACTAAGGCTAAGCCAAGAAGGAGGTGATGCCAGGGTGACACCGAGGAGACCAACCAGTGCCGGGGGGCGGGGCGCGCAGATGCTAGTGCTAGGAGGCAGCAGGTCAGAGCTGAGCAGCCGAGTCCCTCAGCAGATGTGGAAGACGCCATCAGGGGCAAAGTGTCAGCGGCAAAGAGCAGCCGAGGAGCCCCAGTCTGCATCAGAGGAAGCAGGGTGCCTGCAAGGAGGGAGCCACAGCAGAAGGGCCTGGCCCAGGCGTCTGTGAGACAGGTCCCAACCCGCCGCCTTCGGAGCCTGCGTCTTCTTACGTCAGCCTGGTTAACTCCCGCTCTATCCTTTCGCATTGGTAGGTTTCCTTTTCCTGAGTGTAAATGTGCCCTCCTGTCATTGCACGCTACACCAGGAGGAGTGGCTAAATGAAGCCCAAAGCACAGTGGTGTAACACATTCATTGTAAACTCACACCCTGCTCCACTCCAAGCCTGGGAGGTGAGCAGGGGTGGGACCCGGCTTCCTGCAGTTACTCAGGAACAAGGCTCTTCTGGTCAATGGCTCCAACTTCCCCTAGCAGGGATTCTCAAACTCTTCTTTGCTCTTGTTCTCTTTTGCCACGTGGTCTTCTGGATGTTTTTATGAAATCTCGTGAATAGTAGCTTGGCGCAAGGTTTTCAACTGTGTACAATAAAATACTCAGTGTTACAAAAGGAGGCAATTAAATCTAATTCTGTTATCAAAATGATAAAAAAGTAGGTTGTGATAGTGGAATGGATGTGCTTCTTTATTAATGCACAGGCGTTTCTCACACAGGATGGGAGTCCAGACATCAGAACCACAGATAAACACCTGCCATGAGCTCTGTACATTGCTCTGGTTAGCTATTGCTGCCTACCAAACTGGACGTGGAATTTGAGGGCTCCAAACAGCTGTCTTATTCTACTCATGATTTTGTGGAAGGGAATTTGGGGAAATCTTTGCTGAATAGTTCAGCTAGGACCTACATGGCATCGCCAGGGCGAAGATGGATGATACGATTCCATTGCCTTCCTTGTTCTGGCCTTCGCCACCTCAGTGCTCCTGGAGCCCCGTCGCTACATGCTTGGGCTTCTCAGCTCAGTGGCTTCAAGGTGGTCACAAGTCTTAGGTGGCAGCTGACTCCTGAAAGCAAGTTTCAAAAGATGAGAATGGAAACTGAGAGTGTAAATATGGATGTTTTTCTAACTTAGTCTAGACTAAGACATTACCATGCAGGGAACACAATTCAAATGTGTGCCGTACTAAGCCTTAGAAAGTCACTCAACAAGGGCTGACTGGGGTGCATGTATCCCCGGCCAGTGCTAAGTGGGGACTGCAGAAGCCCTGCTGTGGAGTCTACTGGTCAGAGCACTCATAGAGTTCACCCAGGTCTGAGGAAGAGGTGACATACACCTTGCATCACAATGGGAGGGACGCCAAAGAGTGTGTGGCCATCCTGAAAAAAAACTCCATTACTCTGTGCAGCACTATGAAGTAGATGTCACTGTCACCATTGGACTGGTGAGGAGACTGAACCTCAAAGAAATGTTTTGTCCAAAATCACACACCTAGTGAGTTTGAAAGTGGGTCAGTCTGATGCCAATTCTTCCAATACTTTATCATTTCATTTGTCTTAAATCTACTACTGGAGAGCAATATGAGACCTATCAGAAAAATAAAAGAGTAGGGGGATGCAAGAGAATTCTGATTGTCTACAACATCCCTTCTCTCCCCCTTCCAAATCCATTTGGAATAGCAACGCACACTATGAAGGGTGCTACATACTACTTAACTACACTGCAGTTAAGTTTGACTATGTTTTGTCTAATGAGATGGAAGAAGTATTATTGTAACTTTCAGAGTGTCCTTAAAAAAATGTTCTTTATATATTCTTGTGGATGTCATGGAGACATGACTCAGGCAGCCATTTTGAAACATGCGGGAGCATGCTGAAGTGGCAGAATAGGAAGGACCTTAGCTCTTGACACCCACAAAGTCACCATCGTGTCATTGGGTAGTGCCTCTGGCCTCTGCTCAAGTGAAAGAGAAGCACACATATGTCTTGATCTAAGAACGGCTATGTAGGGTTTTCTGTCTCTCAGCTGAGCCTGATCCTAAATAATGTAGAAGAGGTGGACTCTTCTTAATTGTAATTCTATGGAAGTATAAGCAGGATGGCACTAACAAACCCCCATAGCTTTTAGAGAAGAGGTATCTGAGGGCAGCTCAAGAGCAAGAGGAAAACATAGTGTAGCTGTCCCCTTCAAAATACTACAGGGTAATCGGCACATTTTCCAAGGAACGGGAGGCAATGAGAGGCGAACTTGAAAGCTGTGTTTGTGTTTTATGGATATAAATAGGACTGCCCAGAGGGAAAGCCTATGACCCCCTCTATCATTCCAATGCCTCTGCCCCACTCATTCCAGATTCCAAGTCTTGGGCAACAACATCCAACTGGCCATGACTGGGTTCTCCACCTGGGTCTAGACTTCTGGGGATGGCAAAAATCAAGGATCAGTTCCTCCACTAAGATGTATGACGGAAGTCTTCAGATTCTCTACAGATTTTCACTACACTTGGCAGCAATCCTAGCCAGCTGTTGTGTTTATGTAAGAAATCCTGTTCACAGGTAGAGTCCATGGGATGAGGAGCAATTACAGTTAAACATGCCACCTGGCCCTATGATGGAACCAGAAGGGTAATCTCTACTCATGTGAATTCGAAATATTGGGGCATGGGGAATCAGAAATATTGCTTAATAATTTTTTTAAAAAATCTTTTTAGCACAAATTGTGGAGAAAATGTCCACACCCACGCCACTGGATGCCATCCTCCCAGTTAATGTGCTCATTCACAAATTCAAAAACCCTGGTTTTGACTGAGTCTATTGACAAACAGATGCTGACCTGGGTTGGATAGTGAACAAAGCTAGCAATGTTTTCTCAGGACTGATTCTGGGCCTGGTGCTCTTATTTCTTTTGGGGTTTTGTGCAGTGGAAAAGAGAGGTAGCTCATTACATTTCCAAAATGAATTTCAGCATGAGAAAAGACAGCCCCTTACTATGGAATGGGCTGTATTTAGGAAGAGAAGTTACCAGCAACCATCCGTAGAAATCAGGTTCATGTGCTAAAAGAAGAAATAACTGCTCTGAATCTCAATTTCCCTCAGTGAAAAGAATGAACCAGGAAGTCCCAAAGTTCCTTCTGGTTTTAGTCTTGAAGATTAAGAAAAATCATATGAATATGAGAGGCAAAGCTGAAAAATATTGAGCAGTTTTAGTGGTTCATATGTGCATATATTAAAAGGCTGATGAGTTGTAAAATAAGCTTAATGTAGTGGTTAATTTATACCTGTGGGTTAGCACTCTCAGTTGCAAGCAAGAGAAATTATGACTGATTTAAGTGAAAAGGGAATTTACTGAAAGTCACGGAATCTCCCGGAAGGCCAGGCTCAAAACTCAGATGAGAATCAGATCCTAAATCGTGTTACAGGATAGAAGATGGGAACGCTGCTGCCATTGTCACTAGACATTGGGTGTCCCTGCTGGCTCCATAGAGCACAGATGAATTCTTGACCACTATAGCATCTTTGTTTCAAACTCATTTGAGATTGAGAATCTTAGGCAGGTGGATCTGATTTGCCCAGACTGAGCTACCTGCCTGGGCCTCTACTTTCAAAGATGGCAAAAATCAAGGACCAGACCTTTCTGTGATGGGCAGTTCTGAAAACATAGAAGAGAGGTCCTTCTAAACCTCTACCTATTTCCACCACACCCAGCGTACTTCAGATAACTTCTCCCAGTCCAGAGATGGGAAGAGAAGGAATCGCTTTTTCTAGGAGTCATTATATCCTTCTACATATGAGGAAGTACGTATCTCTACTTAGAGTTTCACTTCCTAGAAAGAAAGGTTCAGAGTTGAAAAACAAATGCTTTTTTACTCATCAAAATTTACCAGTGTAACAGTTATATTGGAGGTTATATTGGAGTTTCTTCACGATAGATACAGTGGACATTTGTATTAGTTTGGTGAGCCCAGCTTAGGGTCTCCTAATGTTTGCAGAGTCCTCTACCTTGTGTTTTACTGGGACTCAAAGACTGCCAAGACTTGACAAGCCAAAAATTTAAGACACTTCCCTTTTCAGCTGTCATTGCAGCGGTGTTGGGCCTGACCAGACCCTGAGCCAGGAGCTGGGGACGCAGGAGGAGAGTGGTCAGGAGGGCTCTCTAGCAGCGGGGCAGCACAAGTAGTGACCCTATGGCAGCTGTAAGTGCTAAGAGCCAGTGGTGTTAGCAGTATAGGTGTCCAATGCTGGGTTCTTGTCAAAAGGGGTCCCCTCTAAACCAGTGCAATTTGGGGATGGTTTTCCTGGCTGCACAAGCATGAGCTTAGCTGTCCAGCCATGCTGCTATTCTGTGATATTCAATGTTGTTCTAATAATCTTTCTTTTAAATGAACCAAAGTAGGTTCCTGTTCTTTTTTTTTAATCTAACCAACTCTTAATGACACGGCCACAGTTAGGTATGAGGAAGGCTGAACAGTACAATGGTTATACTGAGCCTCCGTGCAGATGTCTACTAATAAAAGGTTCTAGCACAAGGGGAGAGGGGAAAACGACATTGGAACACAACCAATAACTCTTGCTTTAGTAAGCAGCAGATTGGTACTTTGGGATTAGATAAGAATATGATAGAATTTTCTCTGAGAATTGAGGAACGTAGTCACTTTTGAATGGCAGAAATGACCCTTGGTGTCTTAAAATGGAACCATTCTTCACTTATAATGAGATTGGTTGAGAAAAGGGACAGCTCGTTCTCAGCCTCAGCCTTAACATCTATATCTAAAAATAAAAAAGGTAAAAGACAGGACCAAAGGAAAGTTTAAAGGTCCCTTTTCAGGGCAGATTGCTGCAGCCAGCGTCGTATGCTTGGCAGAATACAGCGTGCCTATCTGAACGTTCCTCTGGGTTTTTGTAGAAAATGCAATGACCCGTAAGGAGGTCAGAGAGGCCTTGGGGCTGGAGGAGATAGGGAAAATACCAAGGGAAATTTACGGATGACAAATTCAAGGGCACACTGGGTGCAAGTTCAAAGCTGTGGAAATAGCAGCGAGGGATGGAGGGCACATGGTACGTCTGAGTTATCTTGCAACATGCTACTGGGGGCAAAGAGTAATGGGGCTCAAAGCCACTGGTGGCAAAGGCAGAGGGCAGTGGACAGAGAGTGACAGCTGGCTCAGACCTCCCGGGGCCACTGCTGCTCAGCTAAGAGGCTCCTGGCCTGACGCTTCTGACGACACTTTCTGAAGCACAGTCTCAAGCAGCTGATTTCCTGGAAAAGTAGCAGTGCTTGGCTTCTCTCCACTACTGTAAAAGTCTGAAGGACTTATTCTAGGCATCCCCTCTTCTCATGCTCTCGGTTTTACTACACAGACACGCCACCCAAGTCACCTACGTGTGTCAGATGGTGCTTGGCTTAGACTTCGTGTTTTTGTTTCTTTCTATTCTTGATCTATTGCGATTAATTTAATGTGAGGCAAGTCCACGGAGTACGTTTTTCAGAAAAAAGATAGCCGCAGGCCTACTTATTGCTATTGCTGGTACAATAACAGCTTTTGGAGCCTTCCCTGGTGTGCCACTGCACAACAGCAGCAAATCAATACTCGCCTCACAGGAGAGCCCGGTGGGCACAGTGGACTGGCCGTCTCAAGTTTGCCCTCTTCTTCCTTTTGGGGCCTTAATTTTAAACTTCCCCAAGCAGAGTTTTCAGCCTTAGATGTTCTCAGTGCCTCTGTGCTCTGTTTGCCCATGTTGTGATGGTTTTACCCTTGCTCTGGGGGATTTAGCTGGTTCTTCTCTGTGGTTTCCTTCATCCCCTGACCCCCAGCCGTTTGACTTTGTTTTTATTTCTCACATGCCTACCTCTCCCAGATCCAGTGTTGAGGAGGAGGGCATGGGCTCTCCATTCAGACAATCAGGCTTAAGTCCTTGCTTTACTGCTAACTCCCCGTGTGCCTTTGGACAAGTAGTACTTTGCCTACCCATGGTGCTTCCTCCTGGGTGCAGTGATTGTAATCGTATAACAGTGTTGTGAGCTTTAAATGACTTAATACACCTAAAGGGTCTGGTGCCTTGGGATAGCACCTGTCACATAGTAAGCACTGGGTGCATGTTAATCATATTATCATAAGTTTGACTATTATTATTTCCATAAGTTCTTTGTGGAAGTCTTCAATAATGAGAATCTGTTGGTATGTGTAGTGAGCCTACCTTCCTTTGTCTGGTGGCGATTCATCTCTTTATTCTGGGGAACTACCATTTCCATGGTTCTGCTAACCCTGGTCCCACCCAGATGTCAGGGCGTGGGGATAGGCATTGGAT